AATATGAATACTAGGTAAAAATGGGGAATATTTAATGGAGCTATAATGCTTTTGAGGTTACAGCATTAAACAACAACAACAACAATTAAAACCTTCCTAAAGTCTCTCTCACCAAAATTCAGTATCTCATCTCCTCACATTATTAGAAGCTCTCACTGTAGCAATATCACTATTCTCTGCTGTCCAGGAGTGAACTCATGCTGTTGTTTAAGGAAGCTGTCTTCTGAGCTACTCTCACTCGTCCATGGAAGTCACTCTCAAGACCTAAATTAGAGGCCAGTCACTTGTAACCACAGAAATTAGTTTGAGTTTAAAAGATTTTTTTTTTTTAGGAGAGAAAAAGCAGCTGATCATGTCAGGGTAGCCAGCCTGAGCCTGACTCAGATCTGCTTTGCGCATACCTGGTGTAGCCACTTTCAATTCTGCAGAGTGAGTACTAAGTGGGAGGAAATAATTACTACCATCCTCTTCAGATTTACAGCAAAGATGTAAATCATAGCAGTAGAGTGGAGAATCAAACACGTATAATACTGTATATAAAAAAGAAGTTTGATTTGGTTTCTGTGGTGAAGGGTGTTTGTAAAGAAATCTTTTATAAGACCAACTAAATAGTTGAAAAAATTAATCACATCTACCCAAAGAACCTTGTCTGCCGTTTGGTATCCCTGGCATTTACATTACCTGCTTCTGTACCAATTATGCAGTCCCTATGTGCCAGTACAACTCTTGGCTTCATTCCATGCAGCACTGATGAGTTTCTCTGCAGAGGTATTTGTTCAAAACTGTCTATTTGCTTCCCTAAATTTAATTTAAATTACGAAAGGCCAAGGAATAAGGGGTGGTCTCTGTGAAAAGTTGTTGACTTTCCCAATTGTCCAGGAGGGCACTGTTAATTAAAATGCAGCGTTACTAGGAGGAAGTGGGAGTTAAAAGCACGGATGGAGTGAAAAAGGCTTTTCCCAAGCCACTAACTGATGTCTCTTTCTTTTATGTGTTCCAGCCTGTGTACATGAGAATTGTAAAGGAGTCTCATTTTGGCAATAACTGCCCTGACTGCATCCCCTGTACAAGTGTACAGATTTGGAGATAGATCCCCAAGGTAGGGCTTTTGGGGGGAAGTTTGGGCAATTAATAAGTTCAGAGCAATTTAGGAGCATGGTGTCAGAGAAATCTTGGCACCAGGTGAGTATGGCTCTGCCAGATTACTCCAAAATTAGATGCCTGCAACAGATGCCGCAGCGGGAAAGCAGGCCAGCCAGCTCCTTTCAGACCTGGACAATGGGAGCACTGGGCTTCTAGTGTGTTTTCATCTCCTGTCCCTAAATACATGGGACAGAAGTTCTTGGGAATGGACTGTGACTCCAGCCAAAGAAAGACTCAATCAGTGGCAAGAATAGCAGAAGCAGGTGGAGACCAAGCTAGCCAGCTCCTTTTCCCTGCCATCACCTTACAGTTTCTGCAGGAAGGAAGGAGCAATGTGAACAAAAACTATACTCCTTTGTTCCGTCTTCATTTTAGCAGTAAGACAAGAGGTAATATAAAGAAAGACTTAGAAGCCCTTAAAGACTCAGTGATGCTCTGATACTGTGGTTTCTTCCCCTCCTCTATTCTATATACTAAGAGTCTCCACACTGGTATAGTAAGTGTTACCCTTATTTTCACTCTGCCTTATTTTCCAACCTGTAAAGAGAACATGTGCAATGCAAATGTATTCAAACCACCGTTTCCACTGCCCACCGTGCATTTCCGACCCTGCACTCCCTTCCACACACAAATGTTTTAGGGCACTTCCATTGATGCAAACACTGATTATTCTTTATATTAAGCATCAGAGCTGCTAGCTGATGACAGCCAGTAAACCATAAACTGCTTTCAGGCTTGTCTTCCTATCGGCTCCTGCAGCTGGGTGATGTGGGTTTCTTCCGCCATTGAAACTATTAAGTTGCTGTAGTTTGTTTGGTTTCAGCTTACCATAATTGCTGCCATTTCCACGGCTGATTTGGGCTATGTTTGAAGTTGACGTATGATACAAAGTGTGCTGCACATGTTGCTGTTCTCCATGTGTCAGGAAATTAGAGATGGAGTGTGTGTATATATATGTGTGTGTGTATATATAAACATCTTCCGTGTAACTGTCTTCTACTTATGTCTTTGAGCATTTACCGTATCAAAAGTAACTAGATGTCTTAAAGACTTCCTTAGTGATAATCATTCAGGTTACTGCTACTGGGCAAGTTAATGTATGCTGGATGAGGCCAGAGAATACATACATGAAATAAGTGTGGGTAACTAGCAAAGTGTATTTCAAAACGTATAAAATACTAAGTATCAATAACACACAATAGTTAAAGGCTATTAGGCATGAGTTTTGAAATGAGTAGCCACATGGAGATCTAAGGGTGTTGGGGTGCTCACTGTAGGCACCAGGCTTTGACTACCTCTGAGAGTTATATTCTTAATTCAGTGCTAGTATCAGATAACGGAAGTTGACAGAACTGAATTTAGCTGATTTGTTGAAAACTCTGAAAGAGTGAAAGAAACAGGAAGTCTGATGATACTTTGAAAAGCGGAGCACTCTTGTGCTTTGGACTGTAGCCAGGCACAAGTCAGTCACATAAACATGCATCATAAAAAAGTCTTCACTATAGAGTTCTTGTGGGATTTCAGGCAAGTCACTTAATCTCTCTGTGACTCTTTTACCTATTGATACATGAGAGGTAATAGCATATCCATCTCCCACTAGGGCAGGAACTGTCTTGTATGTGTAAGGGGCATGCTTGCACAAAAGATCCCTAACCTTGATTATGTAATGCTAGCACAGAAAGGTTCCAAATAAAAATAATAGTGATGATCATAGGCAACTGGTAGGGGGTGCATGGCCGACACTGATGCTGTCAGTAGGGTTGGTGCCCCGCAGCTTCTGCGGGTGCCCTGCCAGATTCAGGAGGCACCAGTCACTCATGATGATGATAAAGCAAACCCCATGTATGGGACACATCTGAATTTGTAAAAGTACAGGACGAGAAATAAAATATTGCAGAGTCAAGTGTTATTTCAATAACATGTTAAAGGTGCCTTTCTGTGGGCCTTATCTCCAATTACACTGGCTTAAGGACAATGAGAATCAGGCTCTTTGAGTCTCTTAAGAATGTTACAGAATTCAAGCAGGGAGGAATGAATGGCAGCTGTTCCTTTTTGAAAATCATCCTAACAGTAGGGAAGGAGTGTGGGTGGAGATGGGGATATATAAGCAAGCTGCCTTTTCCTGTTTTTGTGTCCTATCCTGTACCATATCCTATATCCCTATTTTTGTATCCCGTCCAGTAGCCACAACACACCAGATAGGGCCAGTGACATTCTCCAACCGTAAGAAATGTAAAGAAAATAGGTGATGAAGGGAGAGAAGGGGGGTTGGAACGTATAAAAATATGATGCCTAGGGACTGCTTTAGCCACACAGTTTAAGTACCATTTCCCCCACACTCTGAAGGATCTGCCCAGAAGGATGAAAGCTGCTGTTAATGGTCTCCACCAAACATTTTTGCAAGAAGAAGAACTATAGCACTGACAGCAGATGTCTATTTGTTGTGCTTGATATACTCATGTGTATCCTGTATATCAAGCATGTACTCATGTATACATATGTCTGTTATTAAACATAACACACAAATACCCCATTCTTCTTGTAGCAGCTAGGATGAGTTGCATGTGCACAACTGCTGAATGAATATACACCAGGGTTTTGGAAGACAGAGATGTGACAAGTGTCCAACAACTGCAACCATATATTTTTAATCTGAGGGTGGAAACAGATGTTGCCTGACATCTTATTTGTGCCACTGTTGTGCCATCAATACCCTTCGTGATGCCACATGAAAGGAATATCAGTGGTGCAACAAAAGGTAGTAATTGACTGTGGCAAAAAAGATCTAGTACCTCTGTGGAAGAAAAGTACAAGCAGCCTGAGCTGCTTGCACTCTCCTGACACCCCAGGCAGATGATCTGAGGGCTTGAGGGTAGGGATGAGATATTTGTCCCTCAAGCCCCAAGATTACCTGCCCACTTTCTCTGCTTACATAGAAGCACCCCAGGAAATCTCAGGATGCCTCTCCATAAGTGGGAAAGTCAGGGTTCCCCAGTCAGCCAGACCTGTTCCCCCAATTGCAGAGGAATGGGTCTGGCTGGGTGGAAAAAAGTCCTATTTTTGCCGTTCAGTCAGATCTGTCCCTAGCGATGGGTACTGCTGAGCAGAGAGATCACATCACCCTTGTCCTACACCATCAAGGATGGGACAAGGGTAGATGTGTGTTTCACCCAGTGAAGCAGATCAGCTGCCATGGCACACAATTGTTTTTGTCATTATTTAATCTATTTATTTTGATAGCACCCACAAACCCTAATTGGGATGACAGCCCCATTGCAGTGGCTTCCCTGTGCCAAGAGAAATAGGCATGGTGTCTTTCCCAAAGCAACATGTGAAGGAGACAGAGGAGGTAAAGGATATTTCTTGGATTTATTTTTGTTCCTTGTTTTAAAATTTTGTCTACATTTTCCCCACCACTGTTTTTGTCTTTTTGTCCCTTCTCCAGAAAAGTTAGTTCATGATTTCAGGAAGGGGCTAGACACCATTTTTTACAGATCCTGTTAGCAATGACTTTCAATCAGCCAGTAGGAAACTCAAGAGAAACTCTGAAAACTTCCTGCCTAGGCACTGAGTGCAGTGCGTTTCTAGGATGCTACAATATGGAGAGCCAGAATCTGACTTTTGGTATCAAAATAACATCATAGTGGATATCATGTAGGGCTGGTCTTTAGGAAGGCATTTTGAAACACCTGTGAGATACCATTGCTGCAATGGTCGCCTTTAGTAAGTCAAGAGTCCTCAGTTCTGTTTCCAAATTCTGTGACCTGGGGAAAATCATTTTACCTCCCTTTGACTCAGTTTCTGTTTCTGTAAAATGGGCATAATGATATTTATGTGCATTTATAACATGCTCTAATATCTGTGGACTAAGTGATCATATAGTAAGGAAGGGAAAAAAAATCTAAGGCATGGTACCAGATCAGTTCAATTTACCAAGCAAGCAAAATGTAGATGCTATGGCCAATAGCCATTCCTTCAGAACATACTACGAAGGGCCCCCTTCTCCCTTTCCAACACACACACACACACACACACACCAAGGCTTTTCTATCCATCAAAAATGCTAAGATAATCATTCTGGCTCCTGGAATTGCTCCACTGACTCTACATCTTTCCTTACATTAGATTCACATTTTTTCTCACTTTCTAGGCCATCATTCCACCTCTCCCTGCTTGCCTGCTTTTGTCTCTTCCATCATACCTTGCTTCCTTTACACTGTCACTGAATAAAGACTTAAGCACCCAGATGTCTGCTTCTCCCATTAGGGTCTCTGCACTTTCTTTCTTAATGCACAGAATGCCTAGAAATAATCCATAAGGCAACTATTTTCTACTCATTCAAATGCCACATCAAGCCACCTGTTGATGTACAGCAAGATCAGTCAACCAGTGATGTTCCTGGTTGTTTTCCAACCTAAACAACTGATTTACAGACATTTTGTATACCATACTGGTGATTTGGATTCTTCAGGCTTTGCAACAGCTAAAGTAACCAGATGAGTTTCTGTTACCTTTGTCCCCTCCCAACTAGGATCCACTTGCTCAGTGACCTGTCTCTGAGAGATCCTAGTACCAGATAGAGAGTCAAAAACAGAATCTAATTCTCTGAGACCAACTCCATTCCCCGAGTCCCACTTTCTTATCATGCCTGATTCTTGGTTAAATTTTGAACACGTCAGAAACCATGTCTTCCTGTGAATCTGGAGAACACTTGACACCATGGGAACAGGACCCTGAAGTTTTGTGTTTGCTACCACAAATACAAATAGTAACACAGGATGAATATTAGACCCTCTGTTGTTGCCATTTGTTGAACTGTGACTTGGGGCATGAAATGATGTGCCTGTGGAAATCCTTTCTGTAATCTTGTTTAAGAAATGTGTGTGCGTGTGTGTGTGCGCGTATATAAAAGCAAATGCTAATGTAGACAGTAAAAGGCAGGGGTTTAGTGCCTTGTTGTTAGCAGTCTTTGTTAAAGTGAATGAAATAGCAGGTTGCAACAGCTCTTTGTTTTTTGGACTATTTTCAGACCACGCATTTTTGATCCATTAGTCCTCCATGCATGCTAACACATTTCTGGAAACACTACACAGAGACTGGAGACAGTGCATTTGCTGACGCCAACTGTAATCAGAAGCATTTCACAGGGACGATTGCTGGCAGAAGTGGTGCTGACTGTGGAAAAGAAAACAGTGAATGAAAAGAAGTTACAGTAAAAACAGCCAAATTAAAACAAAACCCCAAAACTCCTCTCTTGTTCATAACAGCTTTATAGCTTATATAGGCACTTCTGTTTCCTGCAACCCTCCTACTCCTGGTCCCTCACAGCTCCATGAAACCTCATTGCTGAGGGCCAGATTCTCAGCGACAGTGTAGGCTGCACAGTAGTGGATCTGCAGACAAACAGAACCTGAACTGAAATTAAAGAAGGTGAGGGAAGGTTGCTAGCTTACTTTACAGATGCCCCATAAAAATCCCCAAAACCATTCACTAAACCTTGGAGGAAAGGCATTTTCCCCTAATAGCAGGCTATGGAACTTACTCTAAGTTTTCAAGTGACTATTTTATTTTTTAATTAAGGTTCCAGTTGAATGATACCTTCCGTCGTCACAGCAAAGCATGGACAAATTCTCAGTCAATCCACAGAACAGCAGAGAGAATCTATAGATGTAACTGGAGCACATTCTCCTGATGCCCTGAAAAACAAATCAACATTTTCTTTTCTAAAATGCAGAAAAACTGTTCTCTCTGCATCAGGATTGCACAAAGAAACTTGGGAAATAGGACTGAATATGACAGAACCAACTTCCTCAAGATACAAATGCTGGAACTCTGTGGAGTGCTGGGTTTTTTGTTGTTTTAAAGACTTCAGAGGGATGTGCCCAAAAAGCTGCATGGGTGGAGCTCTAGCCTGCCATTCTGGTTTGAAATGCTTTGGACCTTAACCCCCTTCCTTGGAAGTATTTAAGAGGAGATTGGAC